AGCAGAGAGCTGAATATTATAAAACTAATCTTGTGATCTAATACTCATAATGCAACTCACACATTTAAGTGAGAATATAAAGCAAATAGAATAATAATATTAAGATTCATTCCGAAACGAACTTTTAAAGTCAATTGACCAAAACAGCCTCAAAAAGTTACTGAAGAACAAAATTTGCTCAAAGATGCATCATTACAAACAGTTCTGTGCACACAATCTACAGAGTTTCTGAAATTTTAACCTCAAACTGAAACTCTTAGTGATGGAAGCTTTTTCAATGATTTGGTACAACTGCAGACATTTTATTTCCTGGTTTAAAAATGTATTCTTATCAAGGGCGCCTGGGGGGCTCACTCGGTTAAGAGTTCAACTCTTGGTTTCTGCTCAGATCGTGATCTCACGGTTCATGAGTTTGGGTCCTGTGTCAGGCTCTGCACTGACAGTGCGGGACCTGCTTGGGCTTCTCTCTCTCTCCCTCACTCTCTGCCCCTCCCCACTAGTGCTCTCTCTCTCTCTCTCAAAAAAAAAATATATGTATTTATAAATGTATACACACACACATTCCTTTTAAATACATGTGTATTGTATTACAAATCATGATTTGTCCGACTTGTCAAATGGATTACCCATCTTGTCCTATGTATAACTGAGGTCTCTCTTGGGCACACCTGTGGAGGGGGTGCAAACAGGAGTGGTTTGGCAACACCAAGCTACAAGCTGGCACTTATGCCAGGTGATGCTAATTTATGGATGCAAGGCCAGCGTGAGACTTTCACACTGAGTAGCCTCTTTCCTGGCCAGAGCTCAGATTTCCAATCTAACTAAAGCATAGCCATACATTTAAAAAAGCAACAAGGCTTCTGTGCAATCAAAATAGGTGTTACAAAACCCATGAATGACAGCTCAGGGTCTTTACCTGTAGACAATACCATAGATGACAATGTAGACCTTTGTTTAGAGTCTGTTTACTTCAACTGCACATAATTCTAACATTTGTGGGCATTTGCAAAATCTCACAGGGGATTGGAAGGAATGGCTTAGAAAGAGATTAGAGTTTTGTTTCTCATCCTCAGTTTCAAAAGATTCTGGGGAAGTATAACATATATCCAAAGGGATTTAAGAAAATATCTTAGGGGCATCTGGGTGGCTCAGTTGGTTAAGTGTCCGACTTCAGCTCAGGTCATGATCTCATGGTTCATGGGTTCAAGCCCCACATCAGGCTCTGTGCCGACAGCTAGCTCAGAGCCTGAAGCCTGCTTCAGATTCTGTGTCTCCCTCTCTCTCTGACCCTCCCCTGCTCATTCTCTCTCTCTCTCTCTCTCTTTCTCTCTCTCAGAAATAAATAAAACATTAAAAAAAAAGAAAGTATCTTAGACACTTCAAGAAGTAAACCTCAAACTATCTGAAAGTGACTCAAAAAGACTCATCCCTCTGTGCTCAGGATAACTGAGATTTTCTGTGCAATTTTAGTTCATTTTGACATCAAAATTCTGAGTTTTATTTCATTCAAGTACAAATAAAAAATTTCTTTTTAATGTTTTATTTATTTCTGAGAGAGAGAGACAGCATGAGCAGGGGAGTGTTAGAGAGAGGGAGACACAGAATCCAAAACAGGCTCCAGGCTCTGAGCTAGCAGTCAGCCCAAGCCCGACGTGGGACTCGAACCCACAAACCGTGAGATCATGACCTAAGCCAAAGCCGTACACTTAACCAACTGAGCCACCCAGGCACCCCTCATTCAAGTACAAATAAAATGATGAACACTATTCAAGGCCAAGGCTTTCCTTCAATCTAAGCTTCTGGAAACAAGTTTTAACACCTGCACCGTGAAGAGCCATGACATAATGACACCAACAATGGCTGACATTGTTGTGTGCCAAACATGTACCAAGAACTTTACATATATTATGACTAACTCCCGAAATAACCTTCAGTTGGGGGAATTGCTATGCTCGTCTCACAGATATACAACTAAGGGTTAGTGGTAAAGAAAATTGCCCAAATTTAAATATTTTTTTAATGTTTATTTATTTTGGGGAGAGAGAGGGAAAGCACACCAGGGGTGCAGGGAGACAGGGACACAGAGAATCAGAAGCAGGCTCTATGCTGTCAGCACAAAGCCCAACATGGGGCTCAAACCCACGAACCATGAGATCATGACCTGAGCCAAAATTGGACACTCAACTGATTGAGCCACTCAGGAACCTGAAAATTGCCCAAATTTAAAGCCAGGTCATTCTGGTTCTGAACCAGCATTCTTTCCATGACTATCTTTTCCTTCTAGCTGAAGAGCGTAGGTCTCCAAATCTTTAGTGGGGCTCAAGGATTAATTCCCAGAGACGTAGGGTTGTTGTCAATGTTGGGTCATCCCCTGATTAGATCGAGCAGCCACAGGGGCAAGCATTGAGTCCTCCCTCAAGCCATCTCTTAAATACCTACCTTTGTGAGAGAGGAATATGGATTCTCATGTAACTGACTCAGTATGTAGTTAGTTGATTTCCACACTCACTGACATAGTTCAAACCATAGAGGAAGGCTCTGGGCCAAAGTGAATGTCAAGCAAGAAGATATTTTATTTTAACACAGAGGGCACACTAAAATGAACAGGCTTGTCTTTTTACCATGTAGGGCACTCTATCTACTTAGTAGATTTGCATCTCATTTCCAAAATAAAAATTCACGTTCCCCACCAATCTGTATTTATCTTTCTCAGATTTAGGACACTAGTGGCAATAATCAGGTGGCCAGTGGGGGTGGTGGGAGCATCTCAAATAGTTGCTCACAAATGACTGGCTGTGGGGGAAGCACAGGAACAAATAAACAGTAAAGGAAGGGGGATAATGTCGCAAGGTTTGTTCCCTGTGCAAACAGCCCCGCTGGAGAACAAAGTCCACAAACTTTACCTCCTCCCACATTTGAAATGAAACCTGGTTGTGACATTTGGGGGGGTCTTCCCTCTGACATTACATTACTGAATTCTTGGTTAGTCATCTGGAAGCCTCATAAGTAGGTAAAATGGTTGTTTGCTATGTCACTGTATGATTTTAGGAACACAAAAGAGACCCCTGTGCATGCTATCTCACTCAGAGTCTTGCCAAATTGGCTCTTTAACATGCCTGAAATTTCACAGTGAATCCTTCATTGTTTTTCCTTAAGCCAAAGATTAAGTGCTAATGCAAATAGTCCTGGGAAGGGTAGTTCATTGAGCTATTATCAGTCATGTATATACCTTAGTTGGAGTGAATTTGACAACTAATTCACACAAGAAATAATAAATGTAAAAGTCACTTTGTAATCCATAAATTGTCAGATAAATATGGAATTTTTGAACATACTTAAAAACGTTTTAGTTGAGATATAACATGATTTGAATATATTTTGATTGAAGAATCAACTTTCCCATCATGTCTAATGTTTATTAAGTGTTTATTATATGCTAGACATTGTTCAAAGATTTCATGACACAAACCTACATGAGGTAGGTATGATTCTTATTTTCATTTTACAGATGAGAAAGATGAGGCAGAGAGATGCTAAATAACTTTTCAAAAATCACACAGCTAGTAAGTGAGCCAGGATTTGCACCAGGCAGTCTACTTCCAGAACCTGCACTATAAATCACTTTGATACTCAGTTGCTCTCTTCAAAGGTATGGTGGCTGGAACATATGGGAGAAAGATTTGTGAATCATGAAAGGTCTGAAGTTATTTAAAACTATTATTATATCAATATCTACTACAATATAGATTCAATTTTCTTATATCAGTTCCTAAGAGAACCCCGCTGTGCTTATTGTGGCCTGAACATCAGCATAATGGAAATAATTACAATGATGTCAACCACAGATACCTACTATCATGTGTCTGATGTAGTCACTTTTACCACCTTCATCTTTGAGATCTTTGCCATCATTGTCATTTATTGAGGGCTTACCATGTTCCAGGAACCATGTGTTACACACTACCTAAATGATCTCATTTAATCCTATAGCAATCTTACAGAGTGGGTCTAACCATTCCCATTTTATAGATGATAAAACTGAGGTTCAGAGATGTTAAGGCCATAGAACCAAAAGTGACACAGCTGGAATTTGAACCTAAGTCTGCCTTCTAAGCTTATGTTCTTAACCATTTTACTATGTCCAAAATTTTAATAATACTTCTAAAACCACCAACACGTAAGTGTGCTTTATGTGTTAGGTTGACCCTCTGTCAGGCTAGTCCTATGTCATGATTTCAAACTACGATTTGTGGGTTATTAAATCCAGCCAGCTGCCTGTTTCTATATTACTGGGACACAGCCATACTCATTCACTTACACATCATCTGTGACTGCTTTTGCGCTAAAAAGTAGAGTGAGTAGTTACAAGAGAAATCCTAAAGCCAACAATATTTGCTTTCTGGATCATCACAGAAAAGTCTGAGGACCTCCCTGCTTTATTTTTATTTTTTTTTAATATTTTTTTTTTATTTATTTCTAGGAGAGAGAGAGAGAGAGACAGTGTGAAGAGGGGAGGGGTAGAGAGAGAGAGGGAGACACAGACTCCGAAATAGCCTCCAGGCTCTGAGCTAGCTGTCAGCACAGAGCCCGACGCGGGGCTCGAACCCACTACCCCGAGATCATGACCTAAGCAAAAGTCGGATGCTTAACCGACTAAGCCACCCAGGCGCCCCAGGACCTCCCTGCTTTAAACCATTTTGCAATGTGCATGTATTACTATTCTCATTTTACAGATGAGCATATTGGAATTCAGAAAGATTGGGTAGCTTGTCCATCCAACTATTAAACAGCAAGAACCTAGTGACAACTTGAGGTCTAGATGACTCTAGAACTTGTTCATTTTCCTCTTTGAAACTTACAAAGGGAACAACTTTCATAATTACCAGTTGAAGGAAAGGAGATTTCTCTAACATGTGGTTGACAATCTGCTTTTCAATGTTTGACACTACTGTTAGAGTTGTACGTTTTCCGCTGACAGAGGGATATTAAATTCCTCTTACCTTCTGAGAATTTACTGTATTTAATTCCTTGAGGGTGGATGCTCAAGGGCTTGTCTGCCTTATTCTTGAAGTGAACTTTCATAATGTCTCCAACTTCAGCATATAAAGTAGGTCCAAGAAGTCCTGTGGAAACAAGGATTTATAATGTGTCTGTGCTCAAGACTGACAAAGAGCTGCTAAGCATGAACCTCATGACTGATGGTTGTCGTCCCTCCTGGTCCTGAGGCTGACCCACTTGGCTTCAATCTAGAAGGCTTTTCCAGCTCATTGCCTCTGCATTGCAGGCAGGTTAGGACAGGAAGGTAGAAATGCTTGGCTTGTGCCCAAAGCAAGTCAAGAGTGAGGAGGAATAGTTCTGACCATGTCCACCCCATTCTGACTCACTGTCGTTTCTTGGAGATTACTGTCTTTGGTCAAGGAGAGAAGGATGTTCATTTTCAATTACACAGGTTGACTTGAGGGAAGGTGACTGGCTCTGTTAGATCTCCGTGATGTGGGAGACCTCAAAGATCTCAGTGAAGTGAAGGAGCAAATCACACAGTACTCTGTCCCTGAGGCAAGTTCAAAGTCCCTGAGGCAAGACTGAGCTTAATGTATCCAAAGGACTGTAAGAGAAATGGTGTGGGCAGAGTGAGAAGAGCAGCTCTCAAACTGCTCTGGGGATGGACGCAGGGTAAGAGCTATGCTGAGATGTGGGCAAAGTGCTACAGAAGGAGAGTGGATGAAGGGCCGGTTCTGTCTGAGGACTTAGGGGAAAGGTTGATATTTGAGTCAGACTTTGGAAAAATCATATTATGAGAATTTCCCAAATTGTAGTGCTTGGATTCTCTGCATCAGAATCACGTGCGGTCTAACTAAAAGGCAGATCCCTATCTCTGCCCCAGTGAATCAAGTCTCTGGAGGTGGAGTCTGAGAATCTTCATTTTTAACATGTGCTCCTGAGTGATTCTGATGTCCTTTAAATCTTGAGAACCTGTCACCAGAAGTCCTATTTCAGACAAGGGACAAGAGTTGACTGCTCATTTCTAAGCCAACGTAAACTCTGGGGCTGGCTTCTCTCTACTAGGAATCACAGGAGAGCAAGAAGGAAGGAAGATACAGTGGTCACAGAGTTCAATTGGCATTCATTTGCAGTGGTGATGATCATTATAATAGAGCTTCCACATACCGTCTCCTTCACATGCTTGAGCACTGTGAGCCATTACATTAGTCCAAATCTTCAAGGAGATTAACATACTTATTTTACAAATGAGGAAACTGAGCCTCAGACAGTTTAAATATACTGCCCAATATTATATAGCTAATTAGAGGCAGCAAACCTATCTGACTCTAGATACTGAGACTTTACCTACCTTTTTATATTCCACCCCTCACCCTATATGTATTCATTCACTCAGAAAATATTCATTGAGTGCCCACACTGTCCTAGGTGTCAGAATTGTAATGGTGAGTAAATTAGATGCCTCACAGAGCATACAAAAAAGTAGGAAAGGCAGATTTTAACAAATAATAACACCAGCATTTAATTATAAACTATGGTAAGTATTATGAAAAACAAGTACAGAATACCCTGAAAAGCATATAACAGAGGGATCTCATCTAACTTGGAGGCATGGAGGGGATCAGGGTTGGGAAAAACTTCCTTGAGGAAGCGATGCTTTAACTGAAGTTAAAGTGGGATTCACGTATGCAAAGGGTCTGAGGTACAAAAAGTTTGGCCTCTTTAGAGAACTGACTGATGGCTGTGATGAAGGTAAAGCTTAACAGGTAAGAGAGAGGAGCAGAAAGTGAGGTTGAAGGCATAGTCAGAGGCCCCGTCAAGTAGGGCCTTCTAGGCCATTTAGAGTTTTGGCTCTAAGAGTATCTGGAAGTCGGGGCGCCTGGGTGGCTTAGTCGGTTAAACGTCCGACTTTCGCTTAGGTCATGATCTCGCGGTTCGCAGGTTCGAGCCCCGCGTCGGGCTCTGTGCTGACTGCCAGCTCAGAGCCTGGAGCCTGTTTCAGTCTGTGACTCCCTCTCTCTCTGACCCTCCCCTGCTCACGCTGTCTCTCTCTCTCTCTCAAAGAAATAAATAAAAATATTAAAAAAAAAAAAAAGAGTATCTGGAAGCCATTAGAGTGTTTAGCAGGAGTGAGACATGGACCAGATTTTGGGTTTTAAATCTCTGACTGCATTGGTGGAGGATGAGCTGAGGAGAATCCAGAGCAGATGTGAGAGAGCAGATAGAAGGCTCCAGGAGGGTAATGTTGGTGACTTACTGTAAAGTTACAGCAGTGGAGGTGATGAGAAAATACTAGAGAGCTATTAGGAGACCAAACTACCAGGACTCGATGGATGGGATATGGATGGAAGGTGAGGGGGACCAAACTGCTGTGGATGTTGGTGACATTCTGGCTGGGCAGCTGGGTGCAAGAAGGTGTCATTCTCTGAAAGGGAGGCCACCGTGAGAGAGTTTTGTTTGATAGATGTGGTAGGCAGAATGTGTGTCTCCTCCCCTTCCCCCCGCAAGAGATGTCCCCGCCTCAACTCCTGGGACCTGAGAATATGCTACCTTAAATGGCTGAAGGGTCTCTGCCCCTTTGGTATGATTAAGATTAGGATGCTGAAATGGGAGGGTCTACCTATTGTCAAAGAGAAAACAGGATTTCTGAGACAGAGGCCCTATCTTTCTCTGCTCCTATCTTCTACCCACTGTTTTTTTTTTTAAGTTTATTTATTTACTTTTGAGAGAGAGAGACAGAGAGACAGAGACAGAGAGACAGAGACAGAGAGACAGAGACCGAACAGAGGAGGGGCAGGATCTGCTCTGACAGCAGAGAGCCCAATGAGGGGCTTGGACCCATGAACCATGAGATTATGGCTGGAGCCAACCTTGGAAGCTTAATGGACTGAGCCACCCAGCTGCCCCAGTACCTAGCTTTCTTATTCCTGTCACTGAACTCCCAGTGCTAGAGCTTATGCTGATCTTGTCCCTCAAGCTTTCTGTTTGTTTTTGTGTTAGCTCTGCACAGGACCATGGAGGTCACATCGTTCAATCCTCATTTTAGACATAGTTACAAAGCCCAGGATGTGGGGGCAGGAAGGGCGGCTTGCTCAAGGTCAATCAATCATTGGCTGGCATTACTGGGGTTAGAACTCAAATCTTTGGACTCTTGAACCTTTCTCTACCACCTCGCACAGAGCAGGTTCAGAACCCCTGCCTTTCCTGAAATAGGTCCAATGTCTATACCATTTCTGACTCTTGACCACATGTGGCTCTACTAGCTGACCTCTCTCTCCTGGCTGCTGCTCTCAGTCCCAGCTGCTGACAGAAGCCCCCACTGGCTACTCCCACCTGCTGGGGATGCCCAGGAGCCCACAGGAGCGCCGACTATGTTGTGCACTGCGTTTCATTGCCATGGTTGCCTCGCTCAGGTGATTTGTTTGCTGGCATCACATGGCTACAAATGCCCAGTGCCCAGAATAAGTCTTCTAAGTTATTTAACCTAATAAGCCCTCTTGCTGCAATGAATGATTTGGAATATTTATTTGCCTCCCTTTCTGTTTCTTCAGAATTAAGGCAAAACAAAGGGATGTTTTCATAAGTGCAAACCAAATACCTTCAAGCACGTGGGCAAACACATGCCTGAGTGTTGTCTGAGCTGCTATCAGCTCCTCCATCAGCCAGATGGCCTGAGACCCATCCCAGCCGCTCCTCAGTGCCCAGCAGTGAAGGGGGGAAGGGGTCGCCTATTCTGTGGTCCCAAGAAGGTAGCACAGCATGTACCCAACAGCTCTGGACTTGAAAAGGGCTACATGGAGTCAGCTAATCCAATCCCCCGCTCTCAGGTGAATAATGCATTACAGAAAACAGGGAAGCCCATTGTTGGGTTATTTTAAAACCCCTTCAGGAACAAACACTTCATAATCCTTTGAAAAAATTCAGAGTCAAAACTAATCATTTTAAAGCCCCCCGACAGGATTCCTGGCCCCTCCACCTGTCCACATGTCCTCAAACCTCGCTGGACGGGCGCCTTCAGGCCTCTAGTCCTACAGCCTAGACCCCGCCCGTAATTCCAGTGACTTCTGGGCTCACACTGCAGAAACGGCACATGACTCCTTCCAGGTTCAGCTCAAATCATACCCAGCAGATGGGTGGAGCAGGAAATACGGGAAAGACACCGATGACATAGAACCAGGATGGGCAGTGGTGCAGGTCACACAGTCAGTCAACGGTAATGTTTTTTTTTTTTTTTAATATTTTATTTATTTCTAGGAGAGAGAGAGAGAGACAGCGTGAGCAGGGGAGGGTCAGAGAGAGAGGGAGTCACAGACTGAAACAGGCTCCAGGCTCTGAGCTGGCAGTCAGCACAGAGCCCGACGCGGGGCTCGAACCCACGAACCGTGAGATCATGACCTAAGCGAAAGTCGGATGCTTAACCAACTAAGCCACCCAGGTGCCCCAGTCAACGGTAATGTTTAAACCCAGAGCTTCTCAGGCTTTTCCTTTATCCCAGATTTGCCTCACTCTACCAGCTACGGTAGAGACACAAAGATGAATTAAATACTACCCTTGCTCATCAGGGGTTCACAGTTAAGTAATTTTGGGAGTTCAGGAAGAAGTTCCTCTTAAAATGGGTGTTAAGGGGCGCCTGGGGGGCTTAGTCGGTTGAGCCTCCGACTTCGGCTCAGGTCATGATCTCGCGGTTTGTGGGTTCGAGCCCCGCGTCGGGCTCTGTGCTGACTGCCAGCTCAGAGCCTGGAGCTGCTTCAGATTCTGTGTCTCCCTCTCTCTCTGACCCTCCCCTGCTCACGCTGTCTCTCTCTCAGAAATAAATTTTAAAAAAACATTTAAAAAAATTTAAATGGGTATTAAAATGCCTCAGAGTTCACATAAAACAAATGTGTAATTGGACACACGGGGTTGACAGAGAGGTGATGTCTTAAGTGCACAGGGCTTAGACATAAATTAATGATCAAAGTCTACTTCTCTTCTTTTCTAAGTTTATTTATTTCTTTTTAGTTGGGGGGAGGGGCAGAGAGAGAGAGAATCCCAAGCTCCACACTGTCAGCACAAAGCCCCACTCTGGGCTCAATCCCACGAACCATGAGATCAGGACCTGAGCTGAAATCAAGAGTTGGATGCTTAACCTACTGAGTCACCCAGGTGCCCTGATTAAGGTCTAATTCTCATTAATGATGTTGAGTCAGGAAATTTCCACAAAAGCTAATCATCTCAAAGGATTTTGATCACAGTACTCTCCTCTCCAAAAACTATCAATGACTCCTTCATGGTTAAAAGATAGTCTTCAGTTTGGCATTGGCCTATCACTCAGCAGTGGCTTACATAGACCAGACATTCAATTCAGCTAACTTGCAAAAGCCACACAAGGTAAAGCTCTGAACACCTGCCTGATTCTTCTTCCCTCCAGGCCTAATGAGTATGTTTCCCAGCTCATTTTCCCTTTACCCACCTACAATTTAATTTAATTAAGTAGTTCTGAAGTATCTGTTGTATATACTAAGCTTGGGGCCAGAGCTATGAAAACGAATAGACACTGTGACAGAGGGCAGGAGATCCTTCAACTGTCTCCCCTCAACTACAAACTTAATTTCATTAGTAACCTTATTGTCTGTTGCCTTGCTGGCCCGCATGGAGGCAGTATGTCTTCTACCTCAAGCTGATTCAGCCCAAGCTTTGAATCCCATCACTTTCTGTTTCCTCAGAATCTGGCTCCAGCGATTATTCTCTCTCAGATATCATTACCCTCCCCTTTCCATTTGATTCTTTCCTTGAGCCCTTAGGTATTTTAAGTCACTGTATTCTTGTTTGCAAAACTCCAAAATCTATATCGGCCCCTCATTCCTTTCCAGGACTACCTTGTCTCTCTTCCCAGGTGGAGCCAAGTTTCAGAAAAGGGTTATCTATAAGTTCCTCTTGCTTCGATTTCCTCATTCACTTCCATTCCATTTCCATTCTGCAGGGGAATGGCCCAGGGGAAAGCAGGTGAAGAGATCTTCAAGAGGCAGATGACTAAATGGGCTAGTAATGTCAAGGAGGAAAAGAACTGGAAAGAAGACATTGGTTCTGGGATCTCAGAGGTCATGGGTGCCCTTTTTTGAGAATAATTTCAGTGGACTTGTATTAGAGAGGATTAGGGAGGGAATGTATGGAGAGGAAACGATATTATAGAAAATGGAGCGGATTACTTATATAGGAAATTGGTAGTGAGGTGAAGGGGAGACAGGAGAAAGGTAGGCAGAGTCAAGGAGAGATTTTCTTCTAGATGGGGTGGACCTGAATATAGCAGTGTTTTGTTTTATTGTTGATTTTTGACTGAAGGGAAAGCTCCAGACAAGGGGAGATTGAAGATAAAGGGAGATCAGAGGAGGCAGGAGGAGTTTGGGAAAGCTGACCGTCTTCAGTTGGTTAATGTGGGAGGATGAGTGAACTACTGACCAGGGGGCCCAGTTGGAGGACCTTCTCTCTTAATGGTCTCTATCATTCCTGTGAAATATAGTACCATATTTAAGATCCGAGAAACCCCTTCAAACTACTTGCTTTGACTAAAGAAGAAATAAGAAAAAGGAGAGATTTCTCTTTGAAAATGATAGCTGTTGTATACGTCACACTAAATACAACAGAAGAGACGGGGAAAAGAGATGCAAAAGAATCAGCCATCTATGGTTCCTTTGAATGCATCTGGGGACCCAGATGGAAGCAACAGGCCATTTGTTCAGGTTCATCTGCACTCAAGGGTAAGGAAGACAGGTAAGGTTCTGTCTTGTCCACTACCACCTACTTCAATGCCCGGCCCCTAGTGGGTGCTCAGCAGTAGTCTGTTCAATGAATGAATGAGCTTAAAAGTTCCAACACTTAAAAGTTTTGTTTAGCTTTTTGATAAATGTTAAAAACAGCCATCTTCCTGGGCCGTGTCACCTCATGGGCAAGAAGGGCCCCTGGCTTAATGCTTTGCCGACACTATTTTGAAACTCTCAAAAATAGGAGTGAGGGTTCCCACGGTTTCCTTTTGCACTTAGACCCACAAATTACATAGCCTGTACTGGTTAAAAACAACAAAAGCACACATTTCTACAAAATGTTGCGAAATAGATATTTTAGATATATATGAATATCAAATTATTCATAGAGACTTATCTTTAAAATTAAATAGTATATACTTCAGGCTTACCTGAAATTTTGGATCGTGGTTTTTCTTTCTGAAAATATGGTTCATACTCTCTGTAGACAATTTTCTTAAAGGAAGCTGCAAAAGGATTCGAACTAGAAATAAAATACAAAAATTAGTTTGAAAGGCATATATGACATCTACATCTCATCACACAACAAATGGATTTCTCGTGTCCTCAGATATGTAGGAGGGATACCAGTATTTTCATTGTATTTCAGAAACCCAAGATTTTATAAACATGAATAATACGTGAAGTCAATAAAATAATTATTGACCTCTTTAAGAATATTCTGTTGAAATAATTGCTTTTCCCCAAATTTAGTCTGCCTTAACTAATGTTGCTACTCAGAATCCATTTTCTAAAATAAAGGCTTAAGATCATCGTGTGAACCCAAGCTTTAGGCTTAGATTTTAAATGACTAAACATATAAGCAAATCCTATGTGAATAAATACATGGGCAATTTTTTTTAGCTGATGAATCAAATACATATTTAAATTACATACTGAGGAAGATTGTAAAGCACCAATGACTTGGTGGACCCCATTTCTAGTGGAGAAGTTGGAGATGGCTGATGGAGTAAAGGCCCTGGGGATTCATACTGGAAACAAACTAACAAATGGAAAAAAAAAAGTCTCAGAAAATGCTAAGTAACTTGTTCCAAGGAGAATCAATGGATAGATGGCAGAGCCAAGACTCAAAGATGTGAACCCCTTATATTCATGATAAAGTATTCACAGAAAGGGAGTCAGGGGAAGTACTGAGATTGCTTCAGGCTTCTTGTCTTCTGCATCGCTGACGATGGGCGCAGAATTCCTACCATGGTCTTAAACTAAAAGATGAAAGTACAAAATCAGGGCATCACAGAATGGGGTACTCACCACCTTTGCTGTGATTTCTATATAGTGCGGTGGTTAAGACAACGGGTTGTGAATTCAGTGTTTGGGTCTGAATCCCGTTTCTACCCCTTATGAACTGCCTAAGCTTGAACAATTTACTTAATCCATTTGTGACTCAGGTTTCTACAAGTGTGAGATGAGAATAACAGTAAAATCTTCAAGGGGCTGTTCCAAGTACTACATAAACGGATACCTGAAAAGGGCCTGGAGCTGGCACATTGTAAATATTCAATACGTGTTAACTAGTCATATTTTTAAGAGGCAATAAAAGTTGGTTTCTAGTCTTCAGGTTTTCCTACCAAGCAGAAAAATCTTTAATTGCAGTAATTCTTATACTTTTTAAAATGTGGGATACAAGAACTGTGTTAATGTTTGGGGGTAGAATTTAAGGAAGTATGAGAAAGTATTTTGGGAATGAGTAGCTAGCTATTCAAGGTAGTGGGTTCTCAGTCGCTCCAAGTGTTCAGTAGAAACTAGACAACCACTTGGTGGAGGAATTGGTGCTTAGCGTGTGTGTGGACGTAGGTGGAAAGCTCATACATCGATGCTGAAAATGAACAAAATTACCTCTGAGAGTTCTTAGAACCCAAGAATCCTAAGATTCTATATGGTAGCTGTGTCCCTAACGTGGGGGTCCATTTATATTTATTTATTTATTAGTACATTTGAAAACGACCCTCCTCTCCCCCACCCCCATCTTTAAATACAGGACTGCGGATGATGGCGTACAATCTTTACTAAGCAGAATCAGACTTTTGTGTGGGATGTATAATTTTAATTTTTGTTTAATAGGGGTATATTTTCTACCATATTTCACTGCATATGTTGTGTGTACATACTGAGGTATGTCTGTTTGATTTTGAACTAAATTGCTATTCAAAAATATTCTGTCTAAATAGAAAGCTGAAAATAATAGGAATTCCAACAACATGCATTATGAATTTTTCATTTATGAGGATTTTCCGAAAATAATTTCTTCATAATAAGAATCACATAAAGCTAGAACCCTAGAGGGGAAAAATATATGTTATAATTTTCAATATCTGTTACCTACATACATGTAAATGATTGAACAGTTTTCCTTAGGGAAATTTTCAAAAACATTTACTTCAGACTTCAAACAAGGATAATAGATATATTTCACCTCTACGAGGCATTCTCCTGCTAAATGCCTTTAGCTCTGTGCTAAAATACACTTTGGCAAAGAGTGGAGGTGGCTATACTGATCTCCTTAAAGTGGGTGTCATTCAGCTGTGGGTGCAGGACACTTGAGCACAAGCTCTTAGTTTAAGCAGCCAGATATACAGGTTAGGTTTTTCACTAGAAAGTACCAGAGAGAAATGACACGAGTTGAGGTTCAAAACCATTGCCAGTTGGTCTAGGTTATCACTCTATGGTTTTGACTCAATACTTGACACCAGCGGTATGACTCTTACCAGAATTCTGGAAACCCAACCACAGGGTGAGGAGACAGGGTAACCAGTCATGGCCCTGTGGACTCTCCATGTGAATCAGGCTTTGCCCTGTATGGTTCTGATTCCAGTATTCTGCTTGTTTTCCGAGTCAACTACAGAACAAAGAACAAACTCGCAGCACAAGCACAGGGTGCCCCGGCAAAGACAGCAAGTGAGTTAATGTGTGCCCATGAGCAAGAGAGGTTAATGCTGGAAAGCCTGTTATTTTCAGTGGGGTTTTTGACAGTTCCCTAAGGCTGTGGGTGTGGTCGACTTGAAAGATAATATTTAAAATAATTTTGTTAAATAAGGGTTTCTTAATATTACAAAACCAAGATAGTATATAATACTCTCCAAAACGACCCAGTTACAAAGCAATTCTTTAAACGATTTAATGCTCTGCACAGCAAGACTCTTGAAACATTACATTATTTTTTGGCAGATTGCTTTGATTTTGTAATTGTAAAAGAGGAACATGTCTTTCACAATCTTGTAAACTGTGATGTTAAGTTAAAAAAAAACTGAGTCAAAAAAAGAAGATATCTGTTTCATGAAAATGCAGTAATAATCGGATGAGATAATATACACAAATATATTAAGCAATGAATCATGTGTGTAGTTTGTACTAAATAAATGTAAGCTAGATATTAATTTGACGTAGGTCAATTTTTTAATGTAATGAAGAAAACAAATTTACAAATAATTCCACTACTTACTGAATTATTTCTAGCCCATGTGTGTGTATTTCACATTTTATCCCAAATAGGACATAGAAATCTGTATCCTGAGTCCTTGACTTGAAATAACCTCAGCTTTTCCCCATCTCACTAAATTTTCATTAAGATCATGTTTACTAGCCTATTTAAAAAAAAAAAAAAAAGCTAAAAAAAGCCTAAAAAGCCTGAGTCACACTGAGAGGGTTACCATTTAAAAATATAACTGGAAACAGTGAGTATGTCCTATAATTTGTTTAATTTCTAGGAAGTCTTATTTTCAGCCTTTCAGTTAGGAAAAATAGTTTGCAATTCAAAGACAGAGTTTTATTATTTAAGCCACCTTTTAGGTACATCGGTCTGTTAATAGTGACCCTTCCAAAATAGCATCGGTCAACTTTATCCCAGGGACGAAGAATGGAGGGGGGGGGGGGGATAACTAGCCACATGAAAAGAAAAGGCAAAAGAACAAAAATATTGCACATTTATGGACTGATGATGGTTGGGAAGTCACTTATAAGAAAACAACAAAATTCAGGCAACTTGGCAATTGTCGTTGGACAACCTGCTTATAATAAAGGACAACGTGTACATCTCTAGTTTTAGAAGAGGAAGCTATGTGGAGGACGAAATAAAAAATGTGTGACCAGCAGTTCTATAAAAACACCAGCTGCTAAAACGCCGGAAAGGGACATTGCGGGAAGGCTAGCGACGCGGTCAGCGGCGTAGCTTCCGAATCGGTCCGCACAGCAAGCCCGCGACCAACCGCAGCAACACGGCCGTGTGAACAGACGCAGCACCTGTGCTGCTAGAAACAGAAACAGCGACTGTGTTTTAAAGTGAGCAGTACGTCGCTGTTGTTGTTGAGGCTTGTGAAGCCACGCGTGCAACCGCACAGCACAAAGCGCCCGCAAGAAACGTGCGTGCCCCGCGGACCCCAGACCCGCTCACCTCCGGCTTGCGGGCTCCGGGCGGTAGCTCCAGCTGAGGCCCTGCGCCGCCACGTAGAACTGCCGCAGCCGCGCCGCGTCGGCCCGCAGGCGCCCCCAGCCCGCGCAGCCGGCGCCCAGGACCACCAGCAACCAGAGGCGCGCGCGGCCCGGGCCCATGGCTGCTCTGCGCCCGCGCCCGCCGCCGCGCGTCCGCCGCCCCGGCTGCAGCGCGCCCGGCGGCCTGCAGGTGGCGGTGTTCGCCCTCCCGCCAGCTCCCCCGGGCGCCGAGGCCGCCGCAGCTGCCCGCGTCCGCCCTTCCCGGCGCCCTTCCAGGCGGGCGTCGGCTGGGTCACTGCCCCCGGTGACTGGGGGGGGGGGGGAGGCAGAGCAAGGGGCTCGTGAATGTTTCACCGCAGGTGGAGAAAGGGCAGAAATCGAGGCCCTCGCAGGGGGCGGTGCCCAGGGCTTTGTGAGCCGCAGGCAGAACCCCTCCGGCCCTTGCACCTGCTGAGCCCACTGCCTGCCCCTCACCCCCCCCCCCCGCGAGCGCTGCCAGAGCCAAGGTCACACCTGCTGAGCCCACTGCCTGCCCCTCACCCCCCCCCCCCGCGAGCGCTGCCAGAGCCAAGGTCACACCTGCTGAGCCCACTGACTGCCCCCCTCCCCCTCTCCCCCTCCCCGCGAGCGCTGCCAGAGCCAAGGTCACACCTGCTGGGCACCCTGCAGCTCCCGCTGCAGCGTCTCCCTCGCCTTGGCCGCCAGTCTCCTGATGAGGGGTGGGGGAGGGTATCGTGCTTGTCACCGGCCCAGGGGACGCTGTCATTTCAGCGGAGGCCGCGAGCGCGCGGGCGCGGGAAGCCAGCCCGCAGGCCTGGGCCACCCTTCGACTTCGGGGCCTGCCTCAGGCGACCCAGCAGGGGCCCCTCCCGGCACGGCAGCCCCCCCCCCCCCGGGGTGCTGGCGGGGAACCCAACCGCTCTAGAGCTCAGTCTTGACATCTGCACGAGAGTGGTGATGAGAATCTTCCCAATGCAGCTGTTACAAGAGTCCTGCGAGGCGTCCGGTTCCTCGGCAGCGAAAGCAGCAGCGCACCTGCGTTACTAGGTTATGCTCCTCCAAGGTTACTCCCAAGGTCATGCACTTCCTGCCGCAGGGGCCCTGTGTTTCCCCGAGGAACAGCCTTAAGATCTTATTTTGCCATTGATAGAACACCTGACACTTCTACTGTGTGAAGCACCCTTATACCCGGCCGGGGTTCCCTGAATCTGCGCGCCTCCAAGCTTCCGTCTCACGATTTGTCTCAAATCGGGCCCCTCGCAGAGGTGATGTCACAGGTCAGGCTCCTCCTCCCTCACCCTCCCTCCGCGTGCTCCTCTGTCTGTCCTGATACCGTCCGTCAGCCGCAACCCCATCGCTCCTCTCTGCTGCTCACTGGCTCAGAGTCCCACCTATCTCCTTCATTATGGACTCAAACTGACTTTCCCATTTTATGAACTCCTACAGCAGTATTCAAATAAAATACTTGTGTTGATCGCCCTCTATTACTTTGTGGGGTGTCTGTTGTTTCCCGGATTCGATGAGAAGCTGTTCCAGAGCAGGAACACGGCTTAACTCTTCTGTATCTATAACAGCAGTGGTTTGAAGGCTGGCAAACCATCAGGTTTCCCTGCAGGAGGTTTCCAAATTGCAGGCCCTGATTCTGGACGCAGGGCAGATAACCATCGTCCGGTAACACCCAGCCTAGTGACTGGCAACAAACAGTGAGAGATGCTGTTAACGGTACATCAGAGAAACTTTCCAGAGCAGTGAGTCCCTACATCCCCCAAGGTGACTACCAAAGTTCTCGCAAAACTATTGTAACCCTTCAGCTAGACTGTTTTACCATTTTTATTTGCATTTTCACCCATAAGTTATTTATTCTGCATGACTTGTTTATTACCTCACATTTCACAGAGACAAGACCACTGTATTGTTTGGCTATTTTTTTGCATCAGTTCCAGATAACTACTGTGTAACTTTCAATAATCTACGTATTAAACATGTGGTTTAATAAAAAGAGCATCTGTTCTTCCTTCTAGAACAATCAGGTGATAAAGATTTTTTCTGCTTCCCTGATTTCCTGATTTTTTTTCTTCTCTGATTTTGTGTGTTGGGGGCATGGTGTGGTATATATTTGCTGACTGACTGAAGGGTCAATCTGTCATTGGGACAACGGCAATGAGACATTCCATCGATGTAAACAAAGTGATGTACACAGACCTTATTGAACAAAACATCAAATAATAGAACATGGTATGTGGGAAGAATCCTTTTAATTGCACCTTTGAATTTTGGTCTTGAGGTCCTTTTGGGAAGAGTGACCAGTGGAGGGAAGGTGACATATGCCTCCTTCCTGTCTTGATTCTTGGTCTTCTGCTCCCTCTGGTGCCAGCCAGAGGCTTCTTGGAGGCCTTGCAGCAAGGGTATTATGGGCTTCATGAGACCCCAGAAGATCTTCTAGAAATGTCCTCAAGTCACAGGTACCACCTGCCTTCCAACAAAGCAGAGTGTGCCTTCCTCCAATCCAAAAATAAAGAGGCATTTTTATGTTTCCACAGTCCGGTCTTCTGGTAAGTCAGATGCTTCAGTCTCTGGCTAATTAGTCTTTCGAGAAAGGCTGGGCAAAACCCACAGAGCACTGCAGGCATTCAGTCCTGGCTGCTAAGGCTTACGGAAGAGGTGGAGCAGGAAGGGGTGGTGGGTAGGGAGTTCGGGCTTGTGGCATCCTTCTGCTCCCACTCAGAATTAATCTACAGGAAACTCCATGTCCTTTTTTTACAAGTATTTTCAGAAAACTGCAGCAAATATGTCACAGTTAAAGTCCATTTGGCAGGAAGCCTGATGTTCAAAAATAGGATCCTATGGAGGTTGAGTGAGGTGCCCAGGAGGACAGGTCTCTGAAAATGAGACGAAAGAAATGAAAATAATTACATGTTCCTTAAAAGCAAACAAGCTAGCTCTTAGCATGTGGGTCCCTGAGGATCAACATAAGCTCTTTTTAGATTCCAGATAATCCACCATCTGGGCTACTTTCCTTAGGAAACTCAACTACTCCTTGAGCTTTTGGGGAGAGAGAAAGTATCAGATTATTTTTGTGTTGCAGCAGGTCACATAGGGGAGTGGCTCCATAAAAGTTTGTAAAATGTTTCCAGTAATGTAACTTCTGGTTGTCAAGCCAGGGCAGAGTTCTGTGAATACCACCATTAATGGGAATATCATACATCCTGAAATAAGTTATGTCTTATTAGAACATTTCTATCCTTGAGGAAATGGAAATCCTTGTATAAACTTACTTTCTATTGTCACTCTGCTGACATATCCTGTCCCCGAATGCCAACACAATTTCCTTCAAGGTTTAAAAAATTTAATACATGCTAAAAATTTAATTCATGATTATATAACAAAAAGTCAAGTTTTAGTATTCTTTCTCTTTCCCCTATTCTAATCTCTGTCAAAAATACTTCACAGGTAACTTACCTAAGGACTCGGGTCAAATGCAGCATTTGTAAAAACTCCATATGTTCCTAGGTGGCTAAAGGACAGAAACACAAAGATAACTTGCCATGTGGTGCTTGGCCTTGACGAGAGTGCAGCACGTGGCTCCTGAGAAACCATGCATTAACACCCACCCTGGAATTCCGCTTTACAACAGTAACAAAATTAAATGCCTACGAGATTTTTGAGATCCCACTTAACAGCTCAGGGTAATCTGCGTTGCGTGTACACCCGCATTAAGTTATTGTTAATGCTCTAGGTACTGAGTGCCTGTTATGCCTCTAGGTAGTTGAATACCTGTTACACTTCTTCTTGGGAAGAAAAAATCCTTGATAATCTGATCATCTGGCCATGCTTTTCAAAGAACAGTCGTACTGCCCCCTATGGGTTGTTGTTGTTGTTTTAAATTTTCATAATGATCAAGGGTTCTACTGCCATTTAGTGGGAAAGGGCCAGGGGCACTGGCTAGCCTAATAGGCACACGACACAAAGATTTATCCTACACTCCATACAGTTTTAGAATATCTACTCAATATTCCTGTAGGTGAATAAGCTCTGAGTCTAGGACTTAACTTTCTTTAAATATAAGTAAGGTATTTTTTGCATCTTTTAAATTACAATTGCCATGTGAATGGAGGGGAGGTTACAATACAATAGATTTTCCAATCCTTTACCAGAGTTGCTCATCATTTAAAAAATCAGCAGGTTGTGCCGGAAATGCCTCTGGTGCTGTTTGAGTCACTAACACAGTATTCCTGACTGTTGGTCTTTATGGTTGTGACCCAAACGTGCAAGCCTCTGCTGACCTCATCACGTCCACTAAAGTAGTGCCTCAGCTTTAGCGTTTTATGTCTATTAGATATCACTTTCCCTTTTATTTTTCCTTTACTTTATAATTAGGGCAACTTCCTGGTTTTTAAAAACACTATGTATGGTTAGGATATATTATCTGTGTATTTTATTTCAGAATTAGTAAAGGGGATGTTGCAAAAGATTTGTTGCAAGAAAGGGGCATTACATATAATCATGCTGATATAATATAGTGATTTAAAAGTCAAACTAGAAAAATTTACTCAATCATGAAACTTTTCTATCTTACCTTTGAGGGTTCAAGGGGCTTTCTCCATCATCTGAAATAAGCAAGAAGATATAAATGATTGGTTTAAAAGAAAAAACTAGATGAAGGAGAAAGGTCATCAGTGGTAGAAGTCACTGGGGAAAGTCTGTGTAATGATCTTCACCCAGGCTCATTATCAGGGATGTACTGGGAACAAGATGTCCCTGAGAGGTGGGACCTGTGTTGGGCTGAATGGAAACATGTGACAGTACGTAATCCAGACTCCACTCATCTTTCTTCTCGTCATTTTCAGTGACAACCTCTTCTTTTTCCTCTGGCCCTTGCCTTCAGCCTTTTGGTTATTTTTGGTTCTTGAAACCCATTTATTTGGCACTGGAGACCCCTATCATTGCAACCCTTCCCCTAGTTGGGAAGCTAATCACGTAAACAAATCCATACCCACATAACAAAGGCTGTTTTCCTTCTCTGGCAACTTGGGTGACCAGGGCCTTCTGTCTTAATCCAAACAACAGGCTCTCATAGTGGAAACTTTAAACATGGCACTAGGCCTGCCAATCACCCCATG